TTTAGTTTGGATGACTTTTAAGACATAAACTAAACCAAATTGCACCCACTTTTTGTGTAACACTTATATTTCTCATGAGAGGTAACACAATTTATCTTTTTCTTTTCTCGTATATATATATATGTATATATATATATATATATATAATATAATGTAATATAATTATATTGCTTATGCGAGGTAACACAAATTATCTTTTTCTCTTCTCGTATATATATATGTATATATATATATATATATATAATATAATGTAATATAAAAATGTAATTATCAATGACTTTTTAAATTGGTAGCTATTGATTTTATGAAACAGTGTATCATTCACATATAAATATTAATAATTAATAAAATTAAAATAGACACAATATAATAAAAACAAAAATAAATATAATGTGTATATAAATAGGTTGTTAATGTAATATAAATTGTATTTTATAATAAAAAACAATTTTTTTCATCAATCAAAAGTATACAATGTTGTTAATAATAAAATTATAATATATATATATATTAATTTAAAAATTGATATTAAATTAATATTTTTATTTTGATTCTTAAAATCTATTATTATTTCAGGAAGTCATGAAATATATTAATGAGTTATGAAACTCTAACAATTAATATATGGGAAGAAAATGAAAAAAATTAGATAAATTATCTCAATATATAAATTATTTTAAAAATATTGGATTTTTATTTTTGCAAAATTTATGTAAAAGTGCATTAATTGAAAGATATCCTCATCACTATCATTATTTTATAAAGATATCCTTATATTCACACACTCAAAAATCGTCATCATTATTTTTTATCAAGTTCATTGCGCAATTTATGACAGCTGTTATAAAGTTCAAGTCTTTATCAAGTAGTGAAAGTCTATTATTATTAATGGAGGTTAGAGTGATGCTTTGTTACCGTAATTATAACTTGTATGATTTATTTTAGTAAGTTGGGTCATTTGATATTAAATTGATTATATAAATAAAAATTGACGATAATAATACATATAAAATATAATAATATTAAAAATAAGTTAAAAATAATATTAAAAAATAAATATATATTAATTTATTACAAATTATTAAAAAATTTATAAATAACATTAGAACATATATTTAAATCTTCATTTTCATCGATAGTAACTAAAATTTTTAATCTTTTCTTTGATATAACTCTTGAAATTGTTATATATAGTTGACCATGAAAAATAAACTGATTTTGGAAGATACACCTCTAACATGTTTTAAAAATTGACCTTGACTTTTGTTAATAGTCGTTACAAACGAAAGAATCAATGTAAACTATCCTCATTGAAATTTAAATGGAACGTTAGCATTTAAAGTAATTAATGATAATATATA